AAATAGGTTACCAAAACTGCCCAAAACTTCACCCAAACAGGTTACGAAAACAATCCAAAAACTGTACCCAAACCCTAAACAGGTCACGAAAACAACACAAAAACTGCAGCCATATACATCACCAAAACAATCCTGAAAAGCTCCAAAAAAAACCGCAGCTCAATTAAAGTACAAGCAGACCCAAAACTGCAGTCAAATAAGAAGCAAGGAAGAGTTTGTTTCAAAGTTTCTCCAAACTATTAAAGTGAAAGCATAGACAAACATTTAAACCTTAACTTCCCAATTCAGCAAACTAGGAGCAACGGGAAGTTCCCAATCTCCTTTCCAACCATACCAAAATTTAAACTAAAATGTAGCCTTAAGCATGCTTTGAAAACCATTCAAGTAAGGAGCAAGTAGAGAGCAAAGAAAAGCTCTCAAACCATTAAAATGTAAAATAAAATATAGCCATCAGCATGCTTTGAAAGCCATTCAAGTAAGGAGCAAGTAGAGAACAAAGAAGAGCTCCTAAACCACTAAGATGTAGACTAAAATATAGCCTTCAACAAGCTAAATTAAAATCTCAATTGCAGGCCTCACATTTTTTTCTAAAACGGTGAAATAGAAGGATGTAAACTGCCATAACATTCACAAACCTAGTTCAAAGCATGCTAATCAAGTGGAGAACAAATGAATGACCACAAGCTCGAAAACTACTACTCTAAGCATGCTCAGCGAAATTCCAAGCATATCCAACATATTTTAATTAAAAGACGGCAAAGTAGAGAGCGAGTAGGTAGCCACAAGAACTTTGAAACATTCTTTTAAGGGTGTAAATATGCAATTCCACCATCCAGCCCCATCCCCTCTTTTTTCTTTCTTTTATTCTTTTCACACCGAGAGAAACATTAAAGCCAGAATCCATGACCAAACATGATGATGGCAGTGAATAACCAAGAGAGAAAGAAAGTTGAAGCTAAGAAAGAAGAGAGAAAACCGCAGCTCTGGAGAAAAAAAGCCACCCATACCTAGCTTAACATATTCAAAGAAAGAACAATAAGAGTAATAGAAACTCCAAAGCAGTAAGCACCAAGAGAGAACCAGTTAGGGCATTTAGAACTGATTTTGGCAACACCTTCCCCTCTCCAAAGCTTCAACCACCAAAACACCACCCCCAAGTGGGGTATTTATAGCCAAGAAGGATAAGGGGAGGTCACCTTCACTTACCTGGGGGTGAGCCGAAGCCTGAAGGGGAGGGAGAGTGGCGAGCAAGATGCAGAGGGAGAAGTGGCAAGCAGAAAGAGCCGAGGAAGTGGCGACAGGGTAGTGAGGCAGAGCAGAGGGGAAGCTTTAAGAGTTTCGGTTAGAGCAGCTGTGTAAGGGAGGAGTTCACGCGTGAGAGAGCCGGCTAGGTCTTCATCTTCTTTTATTAGGAAATCCCACCCAACTTATTATTATTATTATTATACTCTTTTTTTTTTAGCATTACTATTTTACTTAAGTTTCGCCAATTCGAGCATAATTTGATCCCGTTCAGAACCCTAACAATATGGGTGTCACCCCTAGAAAAATTTGATGTTCCGGATGCGCCGACACGGTCTATTTTCATCATCCGAGATCATCCGGTCAAGCTCGTCGACGATCAGGTCAACAATGCGTCAAATTCAACAACAAAAACAACAACAACAACAAAGCCTTAATCCCACCACGTGGGGTCGGCTACATGAATCCTTTTTCTCCATTGCGCCCTATTTAGTGTCATATTTTCATTTAGTTCTAGTAAATTAAGATATTTTTAATACAAAAAGCCCAACTCTTCCTAGGTCTACCTCTGTCTTTCTTAACACAAGTCGAATCTAAAACATCTAATCGGATCATCAGATGGTCGACGTTTAAAAACGCGTCAAATTCAAATTCCTTAAAATTCCATATTCGTGATCGATTGTTTCAAAGAATCGATTTAAGTTTTGATTAATTGTGAAGCAATTAAATGTGTTGGGTGATATGAATTTCGATGTTCATGTAAGTGAATGTGCAAATCGTGATGTTCGTGTATTGTGAATACACACGAAATTCATAATGGATTTCCTAAGACTTTTAAATCCTATGGGAACTCTCTTTAAGCCTCCAAGTGCTGGTCCTAGCCACTCAACCCAACGGTGATGGTACATGATCTTAGCCACTCAACCAGGTGGTGACAGCTCGAAATCATTACCACTCGGCCAAATGGGGATTAGTTGGGATCACCCATTTTAGGCCCCATAAGGGAGTTAAGAGATGGTTTGAGCTTTTAAATGGTGTGGGTCGCGCCACTAATCCTCTAAGATAGTCACTGGGAAAGCCCTAAGGCTAGATCATAGGCTTTAGTAGAAGAATTTTGCCCTCACCAAAAATGAGATCAACAAAATGCTATATCAACAAAATTGTTGCCTTCCAATTACCTTATTACATATGGCTCTCAAGGCCTTTAAAAGAAAAATGTAATTTTTAAAAGAATACTCTCAGCACAACCACACTCTCAAAGTACAATTATGAGTTCAATTTATATGGTTGATCCTCTGCGTACAAAGATAGAATTGACAAGACGGCTAACATGATAAATTTCTAAATAAATTTAGTCAATTTACAAATCACTTCTTTGCAACTAAGTAAAATACGATAGTGAGCTCAACTTATTGACTTGATCTTCTATGTAAAAAGAGAAAGTTAATAAAGTCAACAATGTGTAAATTTTCAAATAAAAAAATTAAATAAACTTAAATTTAGCCCTCCCCGAGAATCATACAACTAATAAAAAGTTAGTATTATTTAAAATAATGTGGAAGCTCTCTTTCAAACCCAAACAAGAAAAGTACACATCCTGTTAATGCCTTGCTTGCATAACAGGGTTCTCTCACTTCTCAAGTCAGACCCTCCACACCTCAAAGATTTGAATTGACAAAACTTACCTCGACTGACATCCACAAAAAAATTCCAATGATCATGATAAAAAAAACTATTCTAAATTCCCTCCCCAATCATAGTCTAAGCAAGTTTAATCAATAGAATGAAAGTCTAATACTGGACTGCTAAGTCTACGAAATTATTTTCTTCCATTTTCGTATGGCCTTCAAAGTCTTTAACCAAAAAAATGCCATTTTAAAATGAGAACTCTCAGCACAATCACACTCACAAAGTACAATTATGAGTTCAATCCATGTATCAGATTCTATTTACAAAAATAGAGTTAAAAAGATGTGTAATGTGGTAAATTTCTAAATAAATTTGAACAAATTGCAAATCAAAAACACGATCCTCTGCAAGCAAAGTACAATAATTAGTTCAACCTATTGACTCAATCTTCTATGTATAAAGATTAAATTAATAGGTTCTGCAATATGATAAATTTTCAAACCAATTTAGTCAAATGAAAAATCACGGACCAAATCCACTGCAAGTATGATCAAGACAAAAGTAACAATGAAGATTCAAATACCACGATGATGACCTTAACAGAAAACCTCTCCGGAGGGGTTCTTACTTCAATAATACACCCAAATTCTGGCAAAAATCATTTGGAGTTCAGTTCAAGTTAAAAATATAAAAATCTCAAAAAAAAAATAAATAAATAAAAATAAAAAATATGAAAACATTCAATAGATATCTTTCAACTAAAGCTTAAATCACCTAATCAACCATCATATCTAACAATTTGTCAATAATGTCAAATTTAAAACTAGTCTCACCTGAGAGTAGCTTTATAATCACTCTAAAAGATCTCACGCTGGTAAAGATATGTCATGTGCCCTTTGACAAACAGATTATGCTGCCAAATGACAGCAAAGAAAAGAAAAATTATGGTTGGGGTCCTCTAATCAAGAAGTTTGCCATGAAATAATAACATTAAATTATGGTCACAACCCAAGCTGTAAATTCCCCAATGGCCCTAATCTATTAGGTAGAGAATCATAGAATGCACATAATAGAAACATGAAGCCCTCTTTCAACCAGTATTGACATAAGATTGCCTCACAAACATCAACCCTGTCTCAAAGATTTCTTTGGATGACATAACACATGATTATTGACAATGATCCTTCGACAAATCACAAGGCATGAACCAAACTTTAAAATACATTCGAGGAATAAATTGGTGTTATTTGATTATTGATATCTTCTTTATAACTTTCTTATATTCTTTATTTTTCTCTTCTCTTTTCCCTTCTATTTCACCTATAGGAAGTTGCTCAAACACATGAATCCATTGTTCGTTAATGGAGTCCCCAAGCTCTTATAAAGAAGCAAACTCATCTTTGAGTATAGCACATCAACTCAAAATATTTAGGCTCAAAAACGGCAAAGCCATCAAATTTTTGTAATTAAGTAGTTAATAATAGTTAATTCTTTTGTTTAATAATAGTTTATGCATATGCTGCGTGTAAGAAAATTGGGGCATAATTTTATTATACAGCTTAATATTTGATGATTTGATTTTTCAAAGAATTCAAAACTTATGAAAATTTCATTGATTTAGCTTTTAGAGTATTTAATTTACACTACTCAACTTTTTAAAACTTCTCAAGGGTTGCCTTGAATAAAAAAACCACTGAGACTCACTCCACCTGTAGGAGTAATCCTAAACATTCATCTAATTTTGCACATATTCTATCATTTACACAAGTTCTTTGTTTACCACGACAATACACCTCCATAACATAAGCTGATCCGTATAATCAAAACAAATATGAAAGTTCTAAATGATTTATTAGTATCCTTCTACACCATAAAGATGAAAATCATGTGGCAGTTAAAGCAAAAAATAGTTTACTGCAACAATGACATGGTTCTCAAAAATTATTCCATGACATTTAAGCAGACAGGGTTCTCAACAAATACTTTATATCATGAGTGCAAGGAATATGCATCTCATAAAAATAGACCAAAAATTAGAAAAGCACATTATAGGTCAACAATTGATAGATGTCTTGAAAGAATGAGATCTCATGATATAACAATGTTATTCACAAGTAATAAAAGCAAACCAGAAAGGTGCTGAAGACCACTGCTACCAACGTCTGTGTCTGATAGCTCCAAGCTTTTCAATTGCAGGAGCCCTAAAAAAAGAAAAAAGAAAAGATTGCTTTAACAGGCGTATGAGTAAAATTAAGTTGCCTAGCAACAAAATTACTTCATAAATTGATTACACGGCATCAAGTGCAGCAAAATTAAAATGACTGATTAAATTAGCACCCCGGTTGAAGGGTGCCAATCATTGTAGTTTAAATTCAGTTTCGCAACAAAGCTAATATTGAAGTCTATTATATTTTTTTCAACTAAAATACAATAGTTTAATCTTCATTCATGGGCCAGGAGGTTGTTAGGTTAACTTAAAAGTTGTCCAATCAATACACAAAACTTCAGATTTAATAGCTTGATTCCATCAAAAGTCTAGGTTCCTCAGAAACCAATTTTCCAAATATATATATATATATATATATATACAAACTATTTGTTGCAACTAATTTGAAATGTAAGATGAGACTTCCTAAAGGGGAAAAAAATATAAATACAGTCAAATTTAAGTAGTAAAAGTGAGACAACAACCACCTTTTAAAGACAGTTTAAAAGTTATGAACTTGTTCTAAAGTTCTTCCAAGAAAATGATTGTTTCTACCACATCAGCTCAAAGCATGAGATCTAAAATATCAGGTATATGGAGTTAGCAAATGCTAATTGCATATGGCATTTTACATCGTAAATGTGTGGTCCTAGGTGTCCTAAAGACAAGATAAAACTATGCTAGATGATAATAGAAACTTAAAAGAGTTCGTTACAATATTGAAATCCAAGTTCTATCATTACCCTTCAAATTCAATAGACCTTCATCCCCAACTTTGCATGAATCCAAGTTCAGGCTCTCCAAATTAATAAGATCTGCATTTTAGAAAATAAAATTAGTTTGTGAAGGACAAGCTAACATAGTAGCAACATTTGTCAAGAAGAAAGCCACAAAAAAAAAAAAAACTATGTAAATTCGAGCTATAAAAAAAAAAATGTAAGAAAAAGAATTGGAGAGAAGTTGATCAAGATGTAAGACGTGCAAGTAAATTTATAAGCAATAAAAAACACACAGAACAAGAAATGAACATAAATAGTAAAACAAATACCCTCAATGATGAATTGCCTGGGATTGAGGACATGTGTGTGATATATATATATATATATATAAAGATCAAGTGAATAAGAATAGATCTGACCCCACAGCTTTGGATATATTTGTTCCATCTAAAGAGAAAACTACCACAGAACAGGTTATGGTGTCAGATTTAATCGCCCATGTGGCTCCTCCCTCTGAAAATACTATTTCAGCGATCGATGAGAAATTGGATGGCCCTGCTGAGCAACCTACACTTTCAACCCCTCCTCAGTTGCAGGAAGCATTAGGGGAAGAGGAAACATTTCATGTTTCAACACACTTGAACCTACAATCGTTGCAACAGTTGACAATCCTTATTCTGATGCTCATCAGCTTTTATCTGCCCGGTGTTCTGTTTACCAACGCGATGATTAGATGAGCCAGTCTTCTGAGAAGGAATGACAAGTCTATTCAAGGAGGAAGAAGAAGGAAGGAAGAAGAAGATTGGAGGCAAACTTCAGCTTGGGAACCTAATAGATGATACTTTGGTTACTTCGGGAAATGGCTCGGCACTCAACAATGTGTTAGCTGGATCTTGCCCTAGAACTAGAGGCAGAGGCAGGTCAGGAGAAGTTAAAGTTTTAGATGTCCTATTATAGATAGGGTTGTCAAAAAAGCTCGTTATTCGTAAGTAGCTCGTGTTAGGCTCGTTCGTTAAGTAAACAAGCCAAACACGAACAACTCTTTGTTCGCTCGTGTTCGGCTCGTTTTAGTTCGAAATAAAAAATATATATATAACTATTTATATAACAATATATTACATATATTATTTTACATATATTATTTATATAATAATATATTATATATATTTATGTCTAAGTTTAAATCATAACACCTCATGTGACAATGTGGTTAGTGTCTTCTTTTGTATATATTTGATCCAGATTTGAATCTCCCACTTTACATCTATTTTTCTCAATTTAAGTTTAACGAGTGAATTTCGAACCGAACACGAGCCGAACACGAACACGAACACACTGTTCACGAGCCGATTTCAAACACGAGCTATTTCAAAAGAGCCGAACACGAGCCAAGCCTAAGCTCGCCCAAGTTCGGCTCGTTTACAGCCCTAGAGGCAGAACTAAACCGGCTGGTCCCTAGCTACTTCTTTTCTGCGATTTTGGTATCTTTCTTTTTTTTAAATTTCCCTGTATCTTTTCTCTTTTAGGGTGTTTGTGTGTGTTGTATCGTATAGGTAGGCTGTCTCTACCTACACATACACATGTGTATGTATACCTACACATACACATGTGTATGTATACCTACACATACACATGTGTATGTATACCTACACATACACATGTGTATGTATACCTACACATACACATGTGTATGTATACCTACACATACACATGTGTATGTATACCTACACATACACATATATGTATACCTATACATACACATATATCTGTATACATACACATGTATACATACACATATATATGTATACACATACATATATATGTATACATATATATATATATATACACATATATATGTATACACATATATATATATGTATATATAAAAGCATGAATATTCAATCAATAACATATTCAAATTTTTCCCTTGAGAATAGTTACAGGGTAAGGTAACTGTTAAAGCCCATCTAATTTTCTCGTTCCCATAAACAACTAAAATGTACAGCCCACAACCCCTGCGAAAATAAATACAATTCCTAGCAATGATGCCACACTACCAACAATTGCCTATGACAACTCTTGAACACTTGTCATAATTGGTCCCCTGTGAACTCGCTCAATCCACGGTTAGGGCTGTAAACGAGCAGAACACGAGCGAGAACAGGCTCATCTTGTGTTCGGCTTGTTTATATTTCAAGCTCAAAAAGTGTATTCGTGTTAGACTCGTTTGTTTAGCGAGTCGAACACAAGCTGTTCACGAATGAAGAGTCATTTTGACAACCCTAATCACCTAGTCATAAGATGTTAAGGGTTGAGGCAAGATTTACAAATTATTGTTTATATTAAAACATCATTTGAATCTAATTTAATAATTTTTATTCTATTTTCTTAGTTAATATTTTTAATTGATTATAAATCTTTGTAGCATTGCAGTCAATTAAATTTTTTAAAAATACTACTCATCATATATATATATATATACATATA